TAAATACCGGGTGACCTCCAAAATGAATTCTGAAGAGAAAAAAGACTGGTAGATAACTTATTCGTCACCACTTAATGTATAGAGATAGCACTGAAGAACCAAACTCCTTTATGGTGAGCTTATTTGGACATCATGGGAGCGTTTGATAATGTGAGACAAGAAAAACTTTGGGTCCACCTGAAGGAGTATAATTTAGATGCAAATTTGTTTAGGTTTCTTCAGCAGGTGTAGACAGATAATGGCGTAGCTATAACATGTGAAGCATAAGCTATAAACAACCCGCAGCAATAAAAGGAAGACGATCAGGCAGGGCTGTCCACTGTCACCTCTGCTCTTCCTGGTATATCTCAGTGAAATAGAAAAAAAGTGAAAGCCGTTTACAACTCCCTGTAACGCCGAATTAGAGCGCAGCTCTTGAGGAGGAGGAGGGAAGGGTACTGGGGGGGGGGGGTCAAGTGACCTTGGGTGGGGGTCACGTGACCTAGGGGGGTCACGTGACGATGCCGATGCCGATGACGTCATCAGTAACGATGACGATCCGGATACAGATGACGTCATCAGTGACGTCACTGATGACGTCATCAGTGACGATGGCAATGACGATGCGGATGCCGGTGAGGTCATCAGTGATGATGACGATGACGATGCGGATGCCGGTGACGTCATCAGTGATGATGACGATGACGATGTGGATGCCGGGGACGTCATCAGTGACGTCACTGATGACGGCATCAGTGATGATGACGCTGACGATGCGGATGCCGGTGACGTCACTGATGACGTCACGTGACTTGGGGAGCCACGTGACTTTGGGTGTCACGTGACCTTGGGGGTCACGTGAAACTGGGGGAGGGGTCACGTGACCTTGGGGGTCACGTGAAACTGGGGGAGGGGTCACGTGACCTTGGGGAGTCACGTGACCTTGGGGTCACGTGACCCTTGGGGAGGGGTCACGTGACCTTGGGGTCACGTGACCTTGGGATGACCTTGGTTACGCCAACGGCGACGCCAACGCCAACAGCGACGGCGACGCCGCTCAAGCCGGGAACGGGCCCCTAAGAGCTGCGCTCTAAAAAAATGAAGCAGGGAACTCAGGTAATTATGTGAGTTTTATGGCAGGACGGAAAAATGGAATACAGGTAATACCAGGAGTGATAAATGCGGATGGCATAGTACTCATCGCAGATAACCAGGATACATTAGAGGAAATAGCTTGAATATGTGGAGAGGAAGGGGGAAACCTTGGGCATGAGTTTTGAGTAGTGACAAGTTTGGTGTGATTGTATTTAACGACGAAAAGAGAAAACTCCTGAGGATACAAGACATCGTAATAGACCATGTAGCAAAATACAAATATCTGGGAGTCCGGCTCGATGAGGGAAGAAAATATCTACAAGAACATGAGGAGATTATAATTAGAAAAGGGAAAATAAATGTGTCTATTTTGTACCTCAAGTCACTACGAAAATATAATAGATATGAAGTGGTCAGAGGTATTTGGAAAGGAGTGATGGTACCCGGACTGTCTTTTGTGCATGAAATCAGAGGTTCAATCAGGATTAGAAATTCGACAATGAAGCGTAGGAAGATTGGCACTGGGAGCAATCGGAAAAACACCAAATGAGGAAGTAGAGGGGGACATGTTATGGTCGTCATTTGAGAGCAGGGAGTCAATAAGTAAGTTGAAATCTGAAGAAAGGTTGACCAAAATGGATGGTGCGCGGCGGGCGGAGAAGATATTCAAGTATTTAAACATGAAACATTTAAACATAAAATGGACAAACCGAACCCGAAAGGTCACATTTAGATACCTACGCATTGTTGACGGGGCTGAGCAGACTATTTCAATGTAAAAGGGGGTGAAAGAGGAGGAGAGGGAAATGTGGGAGGGAAGAATGAAGAAGAAATCAGCTCCAGCGGTGTACAGGTCACGAAAGCACGACATGAGGAAGGAAAATGTGTTTGACAATTCACTGGGAAGTTCTTTGATGTTTGAGGCGAGAACGCGAGTTTTGAGGACGAAGACGTAGAGGGATATATTTCAAAAGACAGACACATTATGTGCCGCCTTCCGTTATGAGAACGAGACACTAGAGCATTTGGTTTTGAAGTGCAAGGGGCTTCGCACTGCCCTGCCCGGAGCGGTAACTGATTTGGTCGGGGCCCTGGGTTTGAATGGCGATGATGAAATGTCGGAAGAGAAAATGATTACAGTCACAAGGAATCGAATAAACTATTGGTGAAAATTATCTAGGGAAAATTAAATGATCCACAACTAACTAGCACAGCTGGGGACAGGCGGGACAGATGTAAATTGGGACCAGGGGCGGATGCAGAAATGTCCTGAGGGGGGGGTCAGGTGTTGGTCAGCGTACCATATGTTTAGGAACCCCCTCCCCCTCTCCTTCGTTTTACGCCCTAAAATTTACACAAGCAGGAACCAAGAGGGGGGGGGGGGTCAGGACGTCCGAACCCCCTCTCTAAATCCGCCCCTGATGGGACTCCCTCCCGCATGCCTCCGACCCAAAGTCCCAACCCTGTCTCCCACTGAGTCCGGTGCTGGGGTAACACCGACAAGGTTTGACCTGAGGAAAATTGGCGACTCCCACATTGAGAGGAAGAGGCGAGGGTGATGTTTTTTTCGTTTTATTTTCCCCAATCCCCTGAAGGTCATTCTGGTGATATCCCACACTGCCTGATGATAGTCAGGGGGACAAAATTGGTATTAGAAGGGTGGAAGCAGTCTTATATATGTCTTTTATACATAGGCTAGGTGGTGCAAGCTACCGCCCGTTAGAAAGGGTATAGCTATTAGTAACATTCATCCATCCAGCCAAGAAATATATAAATCGGTTGTACATAATTGCCCTCTCACGGCAAGTATTTTTTTTTTTATGAGCGCCTCGTAATCATTATTTCTTAGAAAATACTCCAGGCTGGATAGACCATATGTGAAATTGTTCGAACTTCTGGCAACGCTCTAGCGGTATCGGTAACAATCGAGGCCTGTTTCCCTACTGCTCGCTGTCAGCGGTCCTCACCCACACCTGTGAGCTATGGGTTAGTATGGTTTTGCGCTATTCTTGCGCATGTACGTGCTCGACATCCTGCAGCTCGCTGGTTTCTCGCCGCAGTTAATATGACGGATGTACACTTACGTTCCAAATTTGGCTATGAGTGCCGGCAAAGGAATGGGCATGTGCGCCTGGTTTCCGAAAGCCCCTTCACTGCGCGAGTGCTCGTGTGAGTGAAGGCTTCTTCGTAACTAGTCTTTCGCGCCCTGGACTTACCAGTGCGAAGCCAACTGGTGGCATGTAGCATGTTCTTCGGCGCCCCTCCAGTTTGCGCTGTGCATTTCGCAGATGGTTGATTTTTCAATGTTTCATTGAAAAATCAACTATCTGCGAAATGAAATGAAAAATCAGCAAGCAGCAGAAATCAAAACCGGCATGCATCCCGCTGCGCGGGATGCATGCCGGTTTTGGTTCCTGCTGCTTGCTGAGAAACTTGGCGTCGGTGGTAATCATTGGCTTGGACATTAATCTGGACACTTGGCGCAAAAGTCGGCGAGAAATCCAGCGGCCGTGGTCGGCCAGCGCCGCACTTGACCTTGACGCCGGCCAATCATAGCCGTGGGATTTTTCGGCAACTTTTTCGCCAAGTGTCCAGATTAGGGCTCCCGGTCTGTGTCGTTGAAGGTCACCGTGCTACGTGTAAAGCGTTTTGTTTGACTGCGAATTATCGTTTTGTGTCGCGAGAATAAACCAGCGCGTCCTAGAGGAGGGGATCCATCCCCTCGGTCATTGACGTCGTGGCGGCAGTCTCAAGGCAGCAAAAACGCTCGTGCAGTCGTGTTTGTCTACCTCGACTACAAGGGTTCTTTTATCAATATTTTGGCCCAGAAACATTCCCTGGATTTCTTACTTTTCGTACTTCATTCGTGTGCTTCGGTTTACTGTACTAGTGGTGTGTATTGCTTCTAGAAATGACCCTGAACAATGCGAAATTTCCCGACTTATATCGCCAGTGAAACGTAATCATTGGTAAGATCCTTGCACACTTGCAATGTATATGTGATACCAAAACTGTATCCGTACGTTGCTTTATCACGTTTAAATTAGGTCGCCTTCTGTAATTGTAGAAAGAAGTGTCTCGAGATTTGTACCATTGGTAAAGTCATGTGTGAAAGGTCGTCATCGTCCAAGGCGGCGAACTGATTTCTTTCATTCTTTTTTCATAAAAGTAGCAATCTAAACAATTAATGGATAAATGAAAATGAATAAAGCCTTACGCTATTTCGAAAACTGCCTGTCCGTTTGCCGTTACGCCAGTGAATGGCAAAGCGCCCCTTTATTTACAGAGGTACAGCGAAAACAGCTTACGACGGTGTAGAGGCGGCCACCGCACTGCCGACCACCATGTTCCCCTGAGTTGCTGCTCTTGTTGCAGTGGATGTAGGGGTGTGTACGCGCGGCATAGAGCAGTGGTTCCAGTAGCTTTGTTTGCAACGGACGCAGTCGTGGTTAAAACGCTTGTTGCAGCTGTCTGAACCAGCCCATTATGGTTGCATCACGTGAGAAACATTCAAACACAGTATAAGGGCACGGCACCTTTAAAGGGATACTACAAGGGCATTTCTGCCTAAATGTTTGATCAGTTTCCTTTATATTTGATTTCCAAGATGTATATTCATGTTTTAATTTTCAAGGCATACACACAAGCACGCAGTACATGTTGCAGTACTATTTCGCGTTCGCCTCATATTTTGTTCTACCTTTCTGGAGTAAGCGTAAAACAAAATCTGCATATGTATTATTTTTCTTAATCAAGCACCGCATTGAGCAGCTTGATTATATGAAAAATACGTGCTCTAGGTGAACGGTTCGTTTCGTCGAAAAAGTGGGCGCTAAGAAGGATTAACGCATGGCGCTAAGTGGCAGCTCCAGGCCAACAATTGAGTATCGGTTGTTACAGAGTACTCATTCTTAAGATTTATTTACTAATGCTGCCTCTTTTAGGCACTCTTGCCCTGACGAAGACTGTAGGCGAGTGGAGCTTTCCCAAGGCGTACGCAACGGGATCAGGACCCGCGGTGTATCCAACGGGAACATGGCCCACGGAATACTCAGCAGGCGCACTCTGGAAGGCCTGAGCCACGGGGACAGCGTGAACGGACTGCATGGTGAGGCAGGCTGGAAGGCCTTCACGACGTATGGCGCAGCATGATCAAAGAGGACTCAAAAAAAGAGAAGGGAGGGGGGGGCGCCGGAGATCTCACGCGGGCCGTCCACGTGCGTCTCATGCCGGTTTTGCAACTCGTGCCCATGTCGGGCCGACTTGGGCCCGACTTGCGCCCGACTTGGGCTGCCCAACGGGCTTCCCTTATTTGACCAACAGTGGGTCTACTTGGGTATCCCACCTCGGCTTAACTCGTTTAATGTGTAGGTGCCTACTTGGGAAGCTCACCTAGGCTTCTGTCTAGAGACGTCTTAGTAATTGCTAAAGACGTTGCGGTAATCGCGACCGTGGAAACTTTTAGTAGGTAGTAAGCTCTACTTTTAGAGCGCAGCTCTTAGGGGCCCGTTTCCAGTCTGAGCGGCGTCGGCGTCGCCGTCGGCGTAACCGCGCCCCTCCCTCTCCTCCTCCTCCCCTCCTCCTCCTCCCCCTCCTTCTCCTCCTCCTCCCCTCATTGTGTAGTATGGTCCGGGCGGGTCACGTGACCTCGGGGGGAGGGGGTCACATGACCCGTTTCCAGCCTGTGCGGCGTCGGCGTCGGCGTCGCCCCTCCCCCTCCTTCTCCTCCCCCTCCGCTCCTCCTCCTCCCCCCTCCTCCCCCGCCAAGGTCACGTGACCCCGGGGGTGACTCCCCTCCCCCCGCCGACGTCACGTGACGGCCCGCCCAAGGTCATGTGATCCCGTCCCCTCGAGGTCACGTGACCCCCCGGGACCTCTGCCCTCCTCCTCCTCCCCTCATTGTCTAGTATGGTCCGGGGGGTCACGTGACCCCCCGCTGAAGTCGTGTGACTTATTTTCAGGAAACAAGCTACACAAGTACTCGGAAGAGAGGGAGGGGGAGCAGGAGGGAAGAAGGACTAGCAGGCATGATCACGAGGGAGGAGGGGGAATATACCTTCCACTCCTCCTCCTCAAGAGCTGCGCTCCAATTCGGCGTTATAGGAAGTTGTAAACGGCTTTCACTTTTTTTTAAACCAAAGTTAAATAGAATTTGGATTATTTTCTTCTATAAATGTTACGATGGCGTTCGTCGAGACGTCAGAATAAAATATCATCATTCAAGATATATAATGAAAAACAAAAATAAAAAGTGTTGACGAATACTCAGCTAAGTGTGAACACCAAGGTTCAAGAAGCAGACAGTTGACGAAATTAGGCAAGGTTTGTGAAGTTGATTCCGCCATAAAACTATTTACAAAAACGTTACACACAAAATGTCTCCCTTTAATGACGACATATACGAATGTGAAAATTGCTTAAAGCAATAATTTTTTAGGTTGTTAACGTTTAGCATGGTCAGATAAAAAACACTGCTGAAATTTACAAAATAAATGTAAGGTGAACCTGCGAGTTATAGGTTTGTTGCCTGAGGGCAACACCAGGCAAAAGTATGAAAATGACTCCATTGCGTAATCTTTATGGATCATGATAAAATATCAATATTATCTACTCATACCTCATGTAAAACAGTCATCCATCGAAAAATATTAGAGGCAAGAAAAACAGACATATCCATATTTTTCGTAGTTCTGATGTACTCGGTTGCCACGTATTTGCGTGCCAAACTTCTGTTTTCTCGGCAACTATTTGCGTATGTTTGCAGTTGAATAGTGCTGTACTTTCGATCTTCAAGACTCTTGCCCGACTTCTAGATTCTAAAAACACGTGATTAAACCAAAACGTTTAAACAAAACAGAAATATGTGGTTTGTTGCCTGCAGGCAACACTCGTCAACAGAAGGTTCAAAAACAGATTAGCAAAAGTAATATATATCGATTATACACAATTGTCCTCTCGCGGCCAGTATGTTAGACGAACGCTTCGTAATCATTAACTCTAAGAAAGCATTCCAGACGGAAAAGACCATATGCGAATTTGTTAGAAAGTCTGGCAACACTCTAGTGTTGTCAGTAACAATCGAGGCCTACTTCTCACCGTCATCGATCCTCACCCACAGCTGTCATCTAAGGTTTAGTGGTGTTTTACGCCCTTCAAGCGCAAGTACGTGCTCGTCGCGCTGCTGGTCACTGGTTTCTCGCCGCAACCAATATGGCGGACGTGCACTTACGCTCGAAATTTGGCTTTGAGTGCCGGCCAAGGCATGGGCGTTTGCACCTGGTTTTCGATAGTGCTTTAACAGCAGAAGTGCTTGTGCGAGCGTAGGCTTCTTCAGGACTATGCTTACGCGCCCTGGCTTTTGCCAGTGTCGAAGCTGGTGAGATGAAGCATGTTCTATGGCGCCCCACTATATTGCGCTGTTCATTACGCAGATGGTGTTTTACAGATCGGAATTTTCTGAATGTTTTGATTAATATTCTAGTTGTTAAACAAATGTCAAGCGAAAATGTTTGTCCGGATACAGAAAAAAAAAATGTTCACACCAATTAAGAATGACTAGTGGATATGTACAGACTTGTACACGTTACTGAAAAATAGTAAGGAATTACATTTACAGTTACTCAAGGCTAAATTGTAATTTATTACAATTACAATTACCCTCCCATAAATGTAAGTGACCGTTACTTCCAAAAGTAATCCGTTACTTTCGTGGCGTTACTTTCAACAATATTTTCCTCAATTAGGAAACAAAGGAAGAAGGTTATTCAAGTTCTTATTGTTGCCACCTGTTCCATTTATTGACCGTGCGTATTTTGAGCAATAGCTGATTCCGAAAGTCTCGTCAGACATTTTGCGTTATTTCTTACTCAATATGTCGACCGCTACGCATTCGAACTGAGGCACTGAGTGGGAGTGCCATATTGTGGCTCTCGAATGTTTTATGCTCTGTATTGAGCTTTTTCAGCGAAGCGATGGAACTACTATTTACCTCTAAGATAGAGCAAAGCTTCGTCGTTGCAGCCGCTGCCTGATATTCGAGAGCTTCAGTAGAGTTAGTAACAGTAAGGTGATAATTAAATAGTAAATAAGGTTTGGCTCGATATTCTTCTTCCTTTGGTTCTGAACAGGTCGAGCCTCGGTTGAGACGTTGGTGAATTGCAAAAAAAGTTCCCATATTTAAATATAGGTAATCGAGAAGAAAACAACAGGACACTCATAACAACAATTAATTAGAACATTGGTTAAAACAAGGAAATGTGAACGCACGTTTGCCATGTGTACCTTTCTTGGTGCCGTTCAAAAACTCACGGAGCACGGGCCGACTGCAGTTTACTCCGGTGTTCTCCAGATTGACGTCCGCTTATGCCACGGGCAGCGGAGGGCAGAGAACTAAGTAAGCCGCGCTATGGCCCCACTCACGAGTTTCACTCTCTCCTCAAGCCCAGAATATTAAGTCTACGTTAGCCACCATTATGTTTTATTTGTAAAACTATATGCTTGAGATAAGATGCGTCCTGCTGGGGTAAAAAACAGGAAGCAAAAAGGAAGACTATTACCATTTTCGAAGTGCTCGCAAAAAGCTGACTCACAAAAAGGGTAACTGAGATTCAAATAAACTGGCTGGAATTCACAAATAAAGTGGGCCAACCCTAAAAGTTGGACTACAAAAAAAGTAAATAGCTTTTAAAACATGGTCAAATAAGGTGAAAGAAGCAGGAAAAAAATACATCCTGTTTTCTAAAAGAAGATGATAAGTGAGCATTGACGAACGAGTATGCTTGTGGCAATAACACCTTCACATATTTATTTATTTATTTATTTACAATGCCCTCAAGGCCGTGAGGCGTTAGAGAGGGGAGTGGGTATTACAATATTGCTGAATCACTTCGCGAAATGCGGCGGAGTCCTCGATGGCTGCGATGTCACCGGGAAGGCTGCTTTGATGTGCTGCGGAAAAACATCGCGGTCGGGCTATTTTTTTAGGATGATCTAGTCTAGAAGACGAATAGGTTGGCAGAGTGATTATCACATCTCTTTCAGTGGATTTTAGGGTAGACGGCGCTTTGCCTCGTGTTGTGACATTATGAAAATGGTCCTAGTGACTATAACCGAGAGCGAACGCCTTGAACTTCTCGAGGAGGCATACAATTCCTTGGTGTCTTCCTCTCCCCGCCTTCGATCGCAAAGAAAAAACAAAGACACTAAAAAAAGCGGATTTAACTTGCTCCCCCCCTCTCCCCGCCCCCTTTTTTTAGAAATGTTTATTTAGATCTTTTGACATTGTTGTTAAATTCAAGGGCTTGGCGTTTCAAAAAAAAAAAAAAAAAAGGCTTTGCGGAACTGAAGAGTGCCAAGCCTCCCTTTGCGCTGATCAATTCGCGTGACAGTGTCACTGCGCTCAACTTTACCAAAATGAAAACGACCTTTTCTTTAGAAAAAGAGGAGGGGGGGGGGGGGGGGGCTGGTCCTAAAAAAATGTAACGGACTACAAGGAATCCGTTACATAAAATATGGAAGGGAATTACTTTAAAATTACTCTAGCAGATATGTAATTATTCCGTTACTAAATTACCGATAAATGTAACGGATTACAAGTAATTTCGTTACTTGTAACGGATTACGTACAAGTCTGGATATATATACGTACCTTTGAAAGGGCCCTGCAGTCATATTAGAGCGTCTACCTTTTTTGCGCTTTCCACGTCTCTTGGGGTTCCGAAAAGCCAGCGGGCACGGAGAGAGTAACGAAATATCAGCGCGTCCTATTTTAACCCGACGACGTTGAAACCTCCTCCAACTACGGGGGCGACCCGCGGTGCCGAAAGCGTGCGATATATGACGTCCTGGCTACTAGGCATACTACTCGTCGGAGCCGTTAAAAACTTCTTTTTAGTCAAAATACAAAACATATTGGCGACAGTCATTTCAATTATTTCTAGAAGTATTTCTTGTTCAGTATTTTAGATCAGAAAAACAAAACAAAAAATCAGTTTACAAAGTACGGAAACAAGAAATGACCCCTCTACATACCCGCCACCAAGCGGTGGAAAATTAACCTCACGGTTACACCGACGGCGACGCCGGTCAAGCAGTAAACGGGCGCCTAGGAGCTGCGCTCTAAAAGTAACTTTTCTTCCCCTGTTTGTGAATTTTTTTTGCATTTTGCATTTGTACAGATTAGCTCCTCTGTGTACCTGGAGCGAACGCCATGAGGTTGGATTTTTCAAGCGTTCTCGTCCTTTTTTCTTAATCATTTTGTCTGCTTCTACACCTAAACGATAATTCCTCGTTTTTACACGCCACTTCTTGATTACACACACACAAAAAAAAGCCGACGCGTAGCTTTGTGCGAGCCCTTAGCGCGCCTAGGTAGCGAGCGCTGGGCAGCAACCTGGGGAGATTTGGGCGAGGCGCGTCGCTTGGGACGGGCAGTGGTGACGTAGCTGACGTCAAGGCACGTGACGCGATGACCTGAAACCGGTCTAGGAGGTAATGCCAGAGCGATCACGACAGACCAATCATGGATCGAGGAGTGTTCGGCCGCGCGTGTTGCATGCCGGTTGTGGTTCCTGCTGTCTGCTGAGAAACATGGCGTCGGTGGCGATCGTCGACCTGATCGATGTCGTTGAAGATCACCGTTCTACGTGTAAAGCGCTATCCTTGACTGTGAATTCTCCTCGTGTGTCGCGAGGATCAACTAGCACGTCCCATAGAAGAAGATCCATTCCATCGTGCATTCACGTCGTAGTGGTAGTCTCAAGGCAGCAAAAAACGCCCGTGCAGTCGTGTTTGTTTACCTCGACTACAGTGGCTCTTTTTTTAGTATTTATGGCCACAAACGTTTCCCGGATTTCTTTTTTTTTACTTGACTTGTGTGCTTGAGTACACTGTATACCTACTGGTATGTACTACTTCTAAAAGTAGGCATGAATAATGCGAATTTTTACTACCTCATACCGCCAGTGACCTGTAATCATTGGTAACATTCTTGCGCACTTGCTATGTCTACGTGATCCCGAAATCGCATTCGTTCGTGTCTCTAGCACTGCCAAAACTCGGTCGTCTTCTATACTTGTATATAAAGCGTGTGGAAAGATTTGTACTATTGGTGAAGTGGTTTGATAAGGTTGTTATCGTCCAAAGCGGCGTACTGATTTTTTTTATCATAAATTAGCCCTCAAGACTTATATTTGAAAAATAAAAATAACTAAGTCCTTACACTATTAAAAATACTGCCTATCCGTTTGCGGTTATACCAGTGAGTGGCAAAGCATCGCTTTATTTGTATAGATACAGCGAAAACAACTTACGACGGTGTAGAGGTGGCCACCGCACTGCCGACTGCCACGTTTCTCTGAGTTGCTGCGTCTATTGCAGTGGACGTATAGGGTATGTAAGCGCGGCACAGAGCAGTTCTAGTCGCTCTGGTTGCAACGGGCGCAGTCTTAGCTAACGCGCTCGTTGCAGCTGTGTGAACCAGCCCCTTACGGTTGCATCCCGTGAGAAACATTCAAACCCAGTATAGTGGCACACCCCCTTTAAAGAGATACTACAACGAAATTTCGGCACGTATTTCTTAGTCTATACGTGTTCAAAGAAGGAGTATCCTATCGGACACATCAATATGTTGTTAAAAAAGAAAAGAAAAGAAATTTAAAAAAAAATGAACGATTAGCAAAGGGCACCTGGTGGATGTCGCTAAAGCTTCGTTTGTAATGACCATCTAGGAGCCTTGACAGGTAATGACGATGCCTGTCTCACCTAGATTTATTCATGCATTGAACCTGACGTCATGCCACCAGCTATCCGGTCACAACGAGAGAAGAAGGTAAGGAGGAACTTCCCTCCCGCCGTGACTCTCTTCAGTGCTTCCCAGACGTCGCTATTGTCCCTCTAGAAGATTAGACCCGTCACACAACTTTCGTACAACCGCAGCTTTCTGGATAGTTGTGGTGGCCTGACCGTTGCCGTGCTTCGGCCGTTTCGTTGGCTGGAACGCCTAGGACATCATGTCGACGTCAGCCGCGCCGCAGCTTTGCTCGTCCCGAGAAAATCAAAGCCAGGATTGCACCGGATGTCACGTGCTCTGCCCTGGCTGCTCTGGGAGTGCATGCCAAAGTGGGCCATTTTTAACGAAAAATACAGCCATAAGCCTCAAAATACAAACGTGAAATTGTCATTTAGAGACATAGTGGGTTATATCCAGCCTATTACTAAACACGCCGGGTATATCACACATTTCGATTAAGTATCCCTTTAGGAAACTATAATTGCGTAGTGGTCGCGTCTTGTAAGGCGTTCTGTAATACAAATATCCAGTTCCACTTTAGCTGAAAAGAGCATCACAGCTGATTTTGTTTATAAATCTAAAGTGAGTTGTCTGAAACGATACTTCAAAGTTCTGGGAAATTCACCGGTCATTTATTGCTCCCTTAAATATCATTCTATCTAATTTTTGAACAATATCATGGGATCACAAAATATCACAAAATTGAAGGAAGAGTTTAGGACTCAAAATATATTTATTGTGATATGAACATCTTTACGATCCTTAATCTGAAGACTATCTAGGGGGTTGATATTGTATTACCATACAACATTTAACGATGCCTCATTTAAAAAACTTAATCAATTCCATTTTGCGACTGAGCACCTGGACAAAAAGGGGGCTTTCACTTTCGTCCCAAACTAGAGGTCTGAAAATGATGCAAAACATTTTTCGGAAATCACACCCTTCGATATTCTCGAATTAATTATGTGCTCTTTGCCTGACTAAAGCTATAAGCCAGGGGAGCCTGGGCGAAGGTGTAAGTGACCGGAGTCTGGTGGTGGGAGGTGTAGATGACAGGCGCGGTGTGGTCGGTGTACACCACAGGCCTTGGGTGCACGTTTTGGAAAGCAGGAGTGGCGTGCACAGCGTGGACGGCGTAACGCGTCGGGTGCGCAGCCTTGACAACTACTGGAGTTTGGATATCCACGGGGGAAGAGCGAACAACAACCGGAGAGGCGACTGCCACGATCTCAGTGTCGGCCGGGCTTGACGTCTTGGTACCAGGCTCGTTGGTCTCTACTTTGGCGCGGAATCCGTCGGCATCGGCAACGTACTTGACGGTACGGGTGATTCCGTAGGCGTCGGTATAGCTGTAAGATCCGATCTTGGTGTTGTCTTTGTCTCCGGTTTCCTGGCGTACGAGGCGGGTACCGAACTCGTCAGTGTTGTCGAAACCGAAGTTATATGGCTGGGGTGGCTGTTGCGGAAGAAAATTGAGAACATATTAACCTCGCTTATTTTGGTGTCGATAAACCAGATTGTATTTGTAAACTTGTAAGCAAGTTATATGAACCTAAATAAATTTTTGAATACGGCTAAGATGTCTAAACGTTTGCAACCAGTCTGTTTTGACACCGTGAACGGAAAACGCTTTGTTTGTGCTCAAATTCGGCAGCTGTGGACACGCCTTAGCAAGGCTTGGTAGTCACACGATCTACACGCGTCGTCAGGATAATGACATCGCCTAGAGGCCGTATACCTCTAAACGTCTATTCGGATGAGGTATTATTGAAAAAAAGTAGTATTGGAATACAGTTGTTTTACTATAGAACTAAATGTCACAGCTTTCGTATCCTACCTACTCTTATCGCACCTTGCCTGAGTCAGTCGTGATGAAAGACATGTGATATTAGCGATAGAGAAGTATCCTGGCCCCTGCATTTTACAAACTGTCATTCTACTTGAATACAAGCACATCAAAAACGAAGCTGTATATAGAAACTTGCAAGCTTAGCGCCTCGACTGGGCACAAGAACGCGTAGTGTGCGCGGAAACGTGACCTTGGCGGTCTTGCTCATTTCGTGTGATTGCCCGCACGTGCAGAGACCTAGGGGCATCCAGGTGCCCTGCTGGCTAACATTCGATAAGCACTAAAAAGGAGGAGGCGACAAGACATCTCTTTTGAACGCGTGGTCTTCAGTACGGGCTCGTTGGCTTACGCTGTGCATTGGCTGAATGTGCAAGCTCGAGGTTCACGAAACGCTGAATCGTAATCAAGGGTATCAAGCTCGCGCTTGAAACGACACAACTTTGGCTCCTCCCAGCGGTTTTTATCTTTTCAGTTACTATTGCGTTTCTGGTGCAAAGGTATTAAAGTGTACTCACCTGTTCAACCGTAACCTGGGTCGCCACGTAAACGAAGAAGCTGCACAGAAGAACCTAAAATAAAATGGTGAAGTTGTTATGAGCACATCCTACTTACTAACGAAGGCGACACTGTGTGACGAAAAACAATATGTACACAGGGCACCACGGCCGCACCTTGGTGAACATGATGACGATGGGGAGATGTGTTCCTTTTGCTGGGATGGCCAAGTGTGATGTTGTGCTGTACCTTCGATTGGCCACGCTTTTATACTCGACACGCCACGTTCCATAGGCTGGCAAGATCAACGTAATAAACGTAATCGAAGAATCAGTTTAACAGGATTGAATTCAAAAAAGTAAAATTCTCTGTAGTTTTTGCGCTGTTCTTGCAGTCGTCTAGGGAACAAGCTCGTGTATTTGTGCGTGTGTGTGTTGTTTGTGACCTTCGTTAAGTTACAACGGCTGGTGAGCGATAGTATCCATGTACGTCTAGTGATATATTTATTTACCATCGAAGACGGTTTGAGCTTCTCAAACCGAAAACATCAGTTTCGATTAAAAACAAGCAGCGAATGAAACAAATCAAGATACGCATGCGGTTGTTTCTGCCTATTCCCTCCTTTATTTATGTGTTTATTTCATTAGGAACCCCTACGCCTGAAGAGCTTTCCTTCTTTGACGCAAACCTTGCTCTATTTGTAGAAACGGGAGTTCAAGGTTTCTGTGATCTTTGCCTCGTCTGGTCAGGTTTGGGACCCCTATTTGAAGCTGTTTTGTATTAAATCGCTTTCGTAATTTTCTTCTATGCCTGTTTTATAGAATAATTAGTTTAGGTAAACTTACAATAGAAGTTAATATTACACTGGTAATTTTCACTTGGAAACAAAAACGGCTGAATTCAGAGCATGCGTTTACATTATGTCATTCTTCCTGCTCACGTAATAAAACGGACGTCTCATTTTAAGGACGCAAACGTACTTCTAATTTGATATCTAGATTCCGCAGTTCAGATGTATCATCTAGGTTGAGTTTCTACGACTTCGAAGTTTTGAAAGGTACAGTCAGTAATGCACAATTCAGGTTAAAGAACTTGACTGATTTTATTTAACGCGATGTCCAGTGAGGGCTACTTTTAATTTGTTGGAGGGCTAGAAAATTAAAGCAGTAACAAAATATATGTATCTTGTTTGTAGGCCATATATGCTACTTGGACGTAAAATAAGACGTACTAATATCCTGTCTGCGTCAAATATGAGTGTGTTCATTTTTTCACTGGCACCTAATTGAGTAAGTAATATGCGTTTTTTCCTTTCTTCCTTGAAATACGGATAAATTAAATGAGTCTATCAAAATGCTGATCCGAAGCATAATGTGGCGTTTTTTCACCATAATGTATTTCTTGACACTTAAACAGAGACCTCCTGCGCCTTAATGAGCTGAATTAATCTAGAGTAATTTCAAACTAGTGTCTAAATGCCAATATCATTTCACGGATCCCTTCTTAATTAAGATGAGTTTGTATAGTTTACTTAACTAAATATATTTTTTTCTAGATAAATCACTACCAATATCTTCATTTCTTTCATTTTAATATGGTTAACCAGTGCTAAACATGGTTTTATTTCATATGAACATTCATTAACGAACTGATAGTTTTTTTTTTTTTTAATTTCTGGAAGCCTTGTCCAAAGTAAGCATTACCGGAAATTCCTCACCAAGTTTAAAAACAAGAACAAACAAAAAATACATTAGCCAAACGTGCTACGATGACGGCAATAATGCTATAAACCTTTTCATTCTCAGTCGCATGGGCGCCGCCACCTTTGAATAACGTGACACGGCAGCCATTATGTTGCTTCAACCTGTTGCTCCGCTTTCCCCTACGAGCCTTGGCGGATGCGTTGTATTCGTGTTTTTTGTCGCGTTTAACCGCACTTTCTTGGCTTACTTCGGAAACTGTGGTCCGATACGTCTACTCGACGACTAGGACATCACGAGGGCTCAAAGTTCCTTATGAGAACTGAGATTTATTTACGAATAATGGAGGAACATTCCCAATAAGAAGCGCGTATATTTATATCGCGCATTTTGAACCGGAAGGCGTCAGGAATGGTCAGCGCATGGAGACTATCTGTATTTCCTGAAAGTATCGTCCTATGTATTCATAATATATCGAAGACAGTTTATGTCGATCATGTGAGGACACTCGCGGAAGAGATAGACATCGAACGTTTAACTTGTATTTTATTAGAGGCTAGAATAATGGTACGTCAACATCAGGAGATTTGTATGTTCATAATATCACACCCACATTTGTATGAGGTTCTCAATCTTTTTATGCGACGTAAATATTCTCTTGGTCGGCTTACTTATGAAGTTTAAAAAATTTTATACCGTGCTCGGTCCCATTCCTTCAAATGATTTATTGATTGTATTTAGACAACCAGCTCAATCGACTGAATTTATTTGAACACAAAGATTGGGACCTCCCGTGCAAGAAACTCTTGAGGCAGCTTGACAGTAGCCAATTTAAGATAGCGTATGCAAAAAAATGTTGTCGTCGTCTCTATTTGCAAATTCAAAACGCGGTTTGGGCTCGGCTCGTGCGCAATAATGACGACGCTTTTTTTTTTTCGTACGTTGATATAATTTTTGATAGTACCTTGGGTCTGCAATAGTTGATGCCGTAAAAAAAAAGCCGTCTGCATAACAATCACCCGAGTTCAGTACTGTCGATGGCGAATAGAGGTTTACTTTTGGTGACTGTCGCCGCCGAAATTTACAAAGCGAATCTGTTCAAACAAATAAATATTTGTTCACACAGGTTCGTGAAGTGGTGCCTAGCGCTATAATTCAACCAAACTTTCCGAGGTATTTCTCCTGCGCCCTTTAATTTTATTTGGCCAATTTTACGACAGACAAATGTCAGATTCCATTTGACGGGCCTGTCACTTATATTTTGAGTAAGCAAACGTCCCTACAAAAAATAATTTACAACTAGAACAATATCGCCAAATGCTGATTATGAGTACTTTAGGAGGGTTGATGATTCAAGCAATTTTCTATACGACCTAGGTCGCACTGTTAAAATATGCTCGAGTACTGAATTTTAAAAAAAAGCCTAGACAATACTACATGTATATATAAATTATCTGCGTCATTACACGATACGTTTTTAGTCTGCGAAGTTCACTAAAGTTTGGGTGTCCACAGAAACCAAACAATGAGTAGTAAACTCGCGAATTCATCTGTTCTGCTCAATCCAACACATTGCTAACCAAGCTGTCCATATGCTCCTTTACATTCGCGTGTTTAGTCTGGAAACTAGTGTCACCGGGTACGGTCTGTGAAGATGGCAATCTTCCCTGTACATCAGTCAGGCGTTTCTCAACCGACCATAGCCAGATACTTTAAAGGAGTTAATAAAAAAAAGCCCGCAATTTAAGCTCAAAAACACCTCGTAGTTTTTAAAGTGGCTCAATACCACTGTTTCGGTGGTTGTGTGCTACAAGGAAAATAATTGTATCACAAAATTAAGATAGCCGCGTGCACGAAACTGAAACCAACCAAATTGAAGCAACCTAATATTGCCAAGTGTATCAGCGCCCTCTATCCACCGGTGAGGCAACTACTAAAATGAAAAGGTCTATAATCTACTCAATGTAGGTGCTTAACGTACTGCGTGTAAATCGTCATTGGCATTTGAAGGAACCTCATAATTTGGTGCCTCAGTTCATCGAGTTAAAGGGACCAGCAAGAATATTGTCACGGGTGGTGACCAATAAACAAGAAATAAACAGAAATAAATAAACGTTTAATGTGGCGAACTTGTGCCAAAAATAAAGGGGTACAAAAGATAATAACAGAGCGTCGCGGGCGTCGAAGTCGGCGTAGCAGCAGAGTCGAAAGCTGGGGCGAAACTGACTGCGGATCGCCACGCGGAGCCCCTTATGTACACGTGTGGGCTTTTGGAATAATCGGCGTAGAAGGCTCGGCGTGTAGAACATTCTGACCTCGAACAAGCAACATGGTTCTCGAACTTACCAGTACATTACTTTACAGAGTCAAAAAAATGCGCCTCCACGGCCAGGAATCGAACCCTGGCTTTCAGCGTGGAAAGCAAGCGCGATAACCGTTAGGCCACGCGCACGCTGCCTACTTGGCCAGCTGAGCGCGCGGCATTACTCCTCCCTTTTAAAAAGTGCATCGTCCCGATGCAACCCAAAAACAAAACAAAACAAAGAACGGTAAACTAAGGAGTCATTTGGAGCACATAAGGTCCACAGTCCTATCGAGCATGGTACGGCCAGTCGCACGACGTGGACGACTTCCGGTCATGGAGGGCGGCGTGACGAAGTCCGTGTTCCGTCGGGCATCACCTCGTAGTTCAGATCCCCGAGTAGACGAAGCACTTTGTAGGGTCCAAAGTAACGTTTCAGGAGTTTCTCGCTGAGACCGCGGCGGCGAATCGGTGTCCACACCCACACCCACACCTAGTCTCCGGGCTGGAAGTGGACGTCCCGACGACGAAGGTTGTAGCGGCCAGTATCGACGCGTTGTTGAGCCTTAATACGGAGTTTGGCGAGCTGACAGACTTCTTCTGCCCTTTGGGCAACCACCTGGGCGTCGTCGGTTACGTCGACAGCCGGTTGGTGGGGCAACATAGTGTCCAGCATTGTCGTTACCTTGCGCCCATGTACCAGCTGAAAGGGTGTCACTCCGGTGGTCTCTTGTACGGCCGTGTTGTAGGCAAATGTGACGTACGGCAACACCTCGTCCCATGTCTTGTGCTCCACGTCGACGTACATGGAGATCATGTCGGCGATGGTTTTGTTTAGTCTCTCCGTCAGCCCGTTAGTCTGCGGGTGGTACGCCGTTGTGCGCCGGTGGCTGGTGTGGCTCAGACGAAGGATTTCTTGAGTCAGCTGGACCATGAACGATGATCCACGGTCTGAGATCAGAACTTCGGGAGCGCCGTGCCCGAGAACGATGGACTCGATAATGAACTTGGCGACTTCCACAGCAGTCCCTGCAGGAAGGGCTTTCGTTTCGGCGTACCGTGTGAGATAATCGGTGGCGACGATAATCCATCTATTTCCTTGCGCCGATGGTGGGAAAGGACCAAGTAGATCCATTCCGATCTGCTGGAACGGTGCGGTCGGAGGAGCAATCGGCTGCAGGAGACGTGCCGGCTTCGTCGGCGGTTTCTTGCGTCGCTGGCACTA